AAGCTGAAGGAATTTTGGCATTCATGCAAACTTCGTGTTTAGGAAGAACTGACATTATTGTTGACAATGTGATATTTTTTTTCGCAGTTGTAGCCGCAGGAGCTTTAGAATAGGCGAAATAAAAGCTTGCTTTGCTTCACCCACGCAAGCGCGCTGAATGTGTAGGCGTGGAAACATACCTCATTTTTGTTTGCTCTTGCCCGGAGCAAGTGTTCTTTCTTATCTTGAACCACGGCCTCCGTGACTAACCCATGACGTGCCGTTGCCGGAACTAATCGAAAAGGCCACACTTCAGCAGTGCTGCGGTCGCAGATGGCGTGGCATGCAGAGAATGACGTCACCGTGTTCGCTCGGTGTCTCAAGAAGCCCAGCGACCACAGCCACTGTTTCTTTCACCTAAAAGTGCTATTAGCGTTCACATTTGAAAACTGTCCCATCGCTTTTCTAAATCAGCAGGAATCAAACTGTCCTTACATGCTCCTAAGTACTTTTTAGAAAAGTGCTTTAGCCTCCCTTTACTGGTCCACCAAGATATCGTGCAACTGAGGAGATCAGTTTCTGACGGTCTCATGCGTACCATGGATAGGCGCAAAATATGATTTCAGGTGTTTCAGGTAACCGACAATGACCGCAATCGGGTCCAATGTCACTGCAGCTGATCAAGTGGGCGTAACGTCTCGTGAATTCCCTATTAAAATAAATGCGGATAATCGTGGATGTAATGTTTTGCTTTAGTTTGTGAGGCGGAACTTCATACATAACTTATAGGGACACTAAAGTCACCAAAGTCAAATAATAATTTATGTCAGAGCGACAGCTCAATGTATGACAACATCTGAAACGTCAATATTATCAACAACAGTGCCCTACTTACCGAGAAATTAAGGTAAATACACAAGAGCACAAGCGCCACAGTAGGAAATCTTCAAAATGATCCCGATGACATCAGACAGACCGCCTACAAATAATCACTAGCTATCGATCAAACTGCACTAAATAATGAACCTTCCATGCATCAAGAGACGCATTAAAATACTGCTTGTTCGTTTCTGTTTGATTCATGAAAAAAAGAACCGCCGGACTTTACTATGAAGAATGGCGCGAGTGGTTCAAAAATTTAATATTTAAGTGGTTACGTGGGACAGGTGGTGCGATCTAGCGGGGCGCAGTTGAAATAAAAGCGTCTGCAATCTCGGAGTCAATGGCGGGAAAGTGATCAAGGGCTGATGTTGCTGCTGTGGCTCCCGCTGCTTTCGGTCTGCTGCTACTAGCGAAGTAAAGCCGGGCGGGTAATTTGGAGTGCGCTAACCGCAATGTGGACCACTTGGCACGAAAGTAACACTGCGAGGTTTCAGAACCGCCATTTCAAAAATCAACGTCAACTTAATAGTTGGATTCAGTGTCCTTTTAAATACGGAACTTCATTTGTGGGTCTCATTCATGCAATCTCTAGTGCCGGCGTTCTGGTTTGTTCTATGCGTGCTGCTCCGAAGTAAGGCATCAGTGTCTGTTCGCGAAAACACAATGCACACATCTGGGGCATAATTTAAAGCTTTCTTAACTTCAGCGTCAGCTTCTTCATACCTTATTACGCTACAGTTGACAGGTATACATTTAAATGCTACATAATTTTATTTATACATACTGCAGCCCCCAATTTGGGGCTATGGCAGGAGTGAGCATTTACATAATGAAAAAAAATAACAAACAAACAGATCAACAGAGCAATAAAACAAAAGGACACTTAACGCAAATCAGCAAGGACCAGTAAAAAATTTTCCAGCGGAAGGGAGCGAATATCACCGGACAGTTGATTCCACATTTCGGCAGTGAAAGGAAAAAAAACTAAATTTGAATGTGTTAGTACGACAATGGTAAGGCTTGATATTAAGGTGGTGATTACTTCTAGTTGTGGACGGCGAGGCAAATGAGATTTAGGTATTGTGGGACATGCGATAGACCGAATTAATAAAACAGTAAAGCAGTTTCATAGAATCCTTTAGACGGTGCATGCGTAATGTGGTTAGTTCAAGAGAAGACAGGGCAAAGGAAGGTGAAAAGTAGCGATCATAGCGGTTACAAATAAATCTGATAGCTTTTTTTTTGAATGGCCTCAATTCTATCGATTTCACCCTGCTTGTGTGGGTTCCATACGGGGCATGCGTATTCAAGTATAGGACGAATCAGTGTTTTATACATTAGTAATTTAGTGCTTTTGGGGGATTGGGACAGTGTTCGTCTTAAATAACCTAACTTCTTTAAAGATTTTGTGCAGATAAAGTTAATATGCTCAGACCAAGATAAATTGCTAGAAAGAACAACACCAAGATATTTGTATTCTGTTACATTTTTATGGTGGATCCGTTAAACGAGTACGTGAAGCAGGAAGGGGACTTACTATTCGTGAAAGACATAAGCACAGATTTGTTAAAACTTATACTCATTTGCCAGATTGCACACCATTCACAAAATTTAGTAAATGAGTCATTTAGACGATAATGGGCTTCAGGAGAGTCGATGGGTTCATACAAAACAGAATCATCCGCGTACAGACGAATTTTACAGGTGAAGTTATTAGGCAAATCGTTTGTGTACAGTAGAAACAGTAACGGGCCAAGAACAGAACCTTGTGGAACGCCTGAATTAACACTAACAATGTCGGAGTCAGTTGAGTTATAACAAACGTATTGCGAGCGCTCAGAAAGAAAATTAGAACTGATGTCCATTTTTCGTAGCAAAGTTTGTTCGTACAGTGATACTACCTCTGAGCACTGCGTCAGCGACGAAATTTGTGAACACATACTTGGTCTGTGCTCCCACGAGCAGTGTCTAGCTGTCGGCAGCACGTCTCAACGACCAGGTGCTGTCGGTTGGTCTTGTAATGTTGGAGCGTACGAGCTTCACATTGGAAAGTGATGAAGGCATTGCTGAAGCTTTCTACACGCACATGTAGTCTCGCTAAAGGGCTATCACATATTTCTGGTCATTAAGGGTATCTTTAAAAGCACCATATTCTCTCTCTCTCTTCATACTCTTCCTTTCTTGCCCTTATGTATTCCCTCGGCAGCACGTCTCAACGACCAGGTGCCGTCGGTTCGTCTTGTAATGTTAGAGCGTACGAGCTTCATACCGGAAAGTGATGAAGGCATTGCTGAAGGTTTGTACACGCACATGTAGTCTCGCATAAGGACTATCACACTTCTCTGTTGATTAGGGGTCTCTTTAAAAGCACCGTATTCTCTCTCTCTTCATACTCATTCCTTTCTTGCCCTTATGTGTTCCCTCGGCAGCACGTCTCGACGACCAGGTGCTGTCGGTTGGTCTTGTAATGTTAGAGCGTACGAGCTTCACACCGGAAAGAGATGAAGGCATTGCTGAAGGTTTCTACACGCACATGTAGTCTCGCTCAAGAGCTATCACATTTCTCTGGTCATTAAGGGTATCTTTAAAAGCACCATATTCTGTCTCTCTTCATACTCTTCCTTTCTTGCCCTTATGTGTTCCCTCGGCAGCACGTCTCGACGACCAGGTGCTATCGGTTGGTCTTGTAATGTTAGAGCGTACGAGCTTCACACCGGAAAGTGATGAAGGCATTGCTGAAGGTTTCTACACGCACATGTAGTCTCGCTAAAGGGCTATCACGTTTCTCTGGTCATTAAGGGTATCTTTAAAAGCACCATATTCTCTCTCTTCATACTCATTCCTTTCTTGCCCTTATGTGTTCCCTTGCCCTTTCTTCAATGCGGCGTAGAAATTTAAATGGCATATTTATTTTCCGGCCTACCTTACCACTTATAGCCCCTCTCTGTTTCTCTCTAGTTCAGAAATAAATTACATAAAGCATTTATACTACAATAGCCACTCTAGCGTGAGCTTGCCTTCTAGCCAGCATAGCTACGGTTCCGTGTGCTATACCAACAGTACTTAGGTGGTGTTATCTATACAAGTCATTGAAAGAAGTACCCAGCGGCACCTTGACTTCTCGATCATCAAATGCGTTTCAAATCGTCTAGCTTAAATCCCGCAGCAAGTGCACCTCCTGTATTTCTAACGCGGAATACTTAGATGACTCTTTAAACGTCAACATTGAACGTTGGTGGCGTCAGCGTCAGTGCAAGCCATGCGAAAAATAGTCAAATGACCACGTCACCATACGATGCCATCGAGACGTCACAGATCGCTAAAATTTGTGGTGTCTTCATGATGTCACATTGACGTGCCGTTTCATAATGAAGTCATCTAATGAAATCATCGCTTGGTCAAGGTGGGCCGACCCCGGAGGTCATAATAGACCAGCAAAATTGTGGAACTCACTCAGACTCACTCGTGAAATATATTTTGCGCCCAGGGTTTTCTCGGACTCGGATTTGCCAAAATTTCACTGAGCCGGGCTTGCTAGGACTGAAACTTACGAACAATTTCTGCGTATGGACTGACTCGGACGCAAACTGACCAAGTTGTTACTTACCCGGACTCACTTAGACTGAGACTCACGGCTCGATCTGAGTCTGAGTGAGTCGACTAATCAGTGAGTTTGCCGACCTATGCCGCAAGCAGTTAAAAATCAGGTGAAGTGCAGAGACTTTTCTGAGGTGGGGTGTCAGTACATCGACTTAGAAGAAGAAGCTGAAGACGGCTTTAGCCTTCGAGTCGTCTTAGTCGAATGCCTGTGAGTTTTTTTTTTTAGGGGTGAAGCTCCTTACGCCATGGGTCGTATGTCCCGTGTCATCGCAGTAGCCAGTTCCATTGCATTGCATGTCAATAAAAAGGGTGACCCAGCATATCCACGCAATGATGATGAGTGGGGCGAAGTGTCCATCGGTCCATTCGGGCTTCTGTGCGTCCGTCCGCGCGTCCGTCCGCTTTGCCCCACTCGTCACCATTCACCTCGTGCATATGCTTCAATTTTTTCTTCTTCTCCACCCGCATGCATAAGGGACTGTTTTCTTTTTTCCATCATCCACGTACATTTCAAAGAGTGCTTTGGTCACATGGTTTACCTGTCTGAGAGAGTCCAGTAGACTCTCGGCGCTGTGGGCGACCCGCGGCAGGGGCCGCCTCAGGGATGACGTGGCCGACGAAGAAGAGGACAGCTGCGGGTGCACCATGGCCCTGGCGCTGAGGCCCGTCGAAGATGCCGTGGAGGAGAGGCGCCCCACGCGCTCGTACAGTGCCGAGGTGGACGGCGCACGGCGCATCCAGGCCCGGTACTCGGACGACGAGAAGACGCCGGGCAACGTGCCCCCGCCGCTCATCAGGGGACCCGCCAACGGACCGCCGCTCGCCGATGCTGCAGCAGAAATCGGTGCACGAACGGAAATGAGCCACAGGCATCACCTCTGGACGTGGTTAAGCGTGCACGCACACACACAAACATGCACTGGCGCACACGCAGCGAACATACAAATACACACACACGCCGACGCACACGCTTAAGCGCACCCACACACAAACACACATAAACACACACGCAGGCAAAGTAAAACCCTTCGCAGAAGGATATTCTTTAAGGACATTCTTCAATTGACAGGCTTTCAAGAGGCACTGACACGATTTTTTTTGCTTCCATTCAAAGGCCAACTCTTCAAGAGCCTGCAAGTAGTGGTAAGCGGGAGTGCACTCTAAAAAGGTAACTGCAGTTGAATTTAGAACCTAGTTTCGGTTCCTACTCTACCCTGATATCACAACGCAGTATGGGCTTTTGGCGACGCGCTCGCGCATGGTATCATGACGTTTCCACGGCCGCTTCGTTCTGTGGCCACTTGGAGGAGGCACAAGCACCCATCTAGAATGTATATGATTTCATGACCAGCAGTACTGGTACATGACGTCACCAGAATTCACAGTGGATCGACGTCGCGGTAGCGTCGATGTAGCGTCAATGTCAGAAAGTGTGGCATGCGAAAATTGATAATATTATCAACATGAGATGTATAATCAGCATTTACCTTGCCTCCCACTTGCTCAGAACCATCTCTGTAAATAGGAGATTATTATGGCAGAGTAAACTGAACTTCCAAGTTCCAGTAGCCCCTTTAACACCAAGTACAAACACTCCACCTGGTAGGGTCCCATACGTTCTATGGGCTGACAACTGCGATGCCTTTATACCTAGGTAGAACTTTCCAATACAGTGGAATATTCACCTCAGAAGCGAATGCCCGTAAGCCTACACGAATAAGCGTGTGCACAAAACTTACGTCATAATCCGCACTGTCGGTGACCCCACTGTCGGAAAAGAACGCCAAGTACAAGAGCGAAACTACTTTAGTCGGCAGAGACAATCGGCTACCGCGCTTGAGTCATCAGAGCTTGGGCCTCTGCTGCTTTCTCACGTTGCATTCGACTATAGAGCAATTGTTGGGCCTTGTCTCAAAGCATAAAAGAATAAGGCTTGTGCAATGTGTTACATCAGGCCCCATGACGCCTGCATATAAACACTCTTCCGGAAGTAATGCACAACTTTTTGGTCGTGTATATCATGACAATTAACAATAAACTTATGTTAACAACTATCCTGAGATGTTATCTGTGACATTGTCAAATTCTGCCACTGGTCAACTCTGATTAGCCCAGGGGGCTGTGATGGTCTCTCTGACGGGCTTAAAATACAGCCATTACAAAACTTCTCAACAAGGCAGAAGCCTAGTATCCAGAATAGCACCCTTAAATCAAAACGTTCAAACTTGTGCAAATCCCCTTTAATGTGGTAATGCCACGACCTATACGAAAGCTGCACTCGACTATACGCAACATTGTATAACAACTTCAGTGCTGATATTTTCCTCAGCCCTCCGTGTTGCGCACGAAACGGAGTACACGTAGCCCTTATAGCCCAGCTAGGGGCACTGCTGCTGCTGCACTGGCAGCGGAGTTCTCACCCTTGGGCCTGCGAGGCCTTCCCGAAGGCAGTTCCGGCGCTGACAGTGCTCCGTCGCTGTCCTCTTGTGAGTCGTAGGTGGCGCGCTCGAATCGCACACCGTGACGCAGCGCCCGACGCGGGTCCAGCACCCCGAGTGCCACGCCGCGAGGCAGCGAGTTGGAGCGCCCTGTCAGCGTGCGAGGGTGTTGCTGTGGTCAGGAAGGAAAAATGAATGCACGTTTTGCATCAGGCCCAGAGAGGACTGCTTTGCTGTAGTTACTTTCAGACGCTGCACAAGGGTCAGTCGTTGCCACCACCATCATCATCATCATCATCATCATCATCATCCTAATCATCATTCTCAGCCCAACTACGCCACTTTAGGGCAAAAGCTTCTGCTACTCTCCACCATTCAAACCGGTCGTGTGCTTGCTACAGCCATATTATCACCGAAAAACTCTTAATCTCAGCACAACGCAGGTAGCAGGCTGAGCAGAGCCAAGACGATGACAAAGAGCTTCGGAAACAATGAAGAAGCGCTCTTCGTAGATGCCACTCGTTACAAACACAAAATCTGCTTCGTCGTGGCAGTAGTTAACCACAAGAAGCAATGTAGCACCTGTCTGGCAATACGCACGAGACGCGTTGAAACGGCGGAAGAGATGACTATAGCTTTGGCCATATCAAAAATTGACGTGTGTTATATAATCAGCGATTCACAAGCAGCTATACGAAACTTTGCAAGTGGCAGAATCTCTCCTGAAGCACTGCGTATTCTTAGAACAGGCAAAAGCATCCGAGACGACAGATGCGTTTGCATACTCTGGTTCCCAGCTCACATTCCCGACACCGCAGGAGATATCAACCCTAACGAGGTGGCACACAACGTTGCTCGAGGACTCACTTTCCGGGCTACAAAAAATGTTGATTCGTCGTCAGAATTTCCAAATATGAGGGAGTGGGAGGACCGAATGACAACATTCAATGAATATATACTATAAATTATAGAGGCATGTTTACCTCCTCCTCACCATAAACTGAACAGGGTACAGTCTGTCCAATGACGACAATTACAAACCAGATCCTATAGGAATCCAGTGCTACTACATGCTGTGTATATAGAGATCTACGCGACCGCGCTCAATGCAAAGATTGTCATGCACGAGCTTCCTTAGAAGATATACTATGGCAATGCCAGGGATTAAAACACAGTAATGAGAGCGCGGCCTCCACCGACAGCCTCCGCGTTGGCTGGTTCTGCTGCTCAGTTCAGCCCTGGATGATCAGCTATGGGCAATCCAGTAGGCCGAGGAAGCCACTAGGAGGCAAGATCTTCTAGCCGACACTTAGGCGAGAGCCCAGCCCACAAACACGCCAGATGAAAAATAAAGTTTTTTTTTTCATCCATCTATCAACCCACTCAACTTTTGGCCTCACTGTCACGCGCTTGCTTTTTTTCTTGGAATCAAGCCTGTTACTCTTAATGATCAGCGGCTATTTTCCCAACGTGCTACGTGTCCGGCCCATGCCCAATTCTTTTGCACCATTTCAACTAAGACATCCCTAACATCTGCTGGTCCTCTAACCTACCTTGTTTTCCTCTTGCCTCGTAAGATCACACCCGTCATATTACTTTCAATTGCTCGCTGCGTCGAACCCACGGAAAGAAATGTGGTGAATATGTATGCGGGACCGATTGTTACAGGGCCATGTTAAATGTTTTTATGCCCACATACAAGAGGAGTGGACGGGCATTTTGGTCACTCATCCACCGTCTCTGCTGTTGCACCTGTACGCGCTCAGTTATCGCCCTCGTTACAGCATGCAAAGAGGGCACCTAGCTGCTGTGTTAGATCGCCTTGACGACAGACCCTTGTCAGAACAATCAGCGCTTGAAAGGCGACATGATCTGTCTTCGCACAGAAAATCAGTGAAGGCCTTATTGAACTTTTTTTGCGTGGTAGTGGCCTATTGATTAGACTATAGCACCCCAGCTCACTTTTTCTTTCTTTTTCGCGTGTCTATTTTGCTCTTCGCTTTATTTCCCATTTTTCTTCCGCATTCTTCCTTCCCTCAGTGCAGGGTAGCAAACTGGATGCTCCAATTTCTGATGAACCTCCCTGCCTTTCTCTCATTTTATTCTCTCTCTCTCTCTCTCTCTCTCTGGGTGTACAGCACGATCGTAGCGTCGATAAATAAAGTACTTATAGAAAGGAAGGAGGATATTTCAAAACCGATAGCCATCCGTCTTTCTCTGTCTTTCACTCTCTGGCTCTACAACTGGCGCAATAGTGTGCACACTACAGCAGATGCCTTACCAACTCACCCTTACAACCACTGTACTGAAATATTTCGCTTATTGTTTTCACGCCAGTAAATTTTATCGTTGAATGCCAGCCAGCCCCAACTCTGATATTGCTTCCCCCTACGTATCTTTAGTGCATAAAGTTTGAGTGCGGTTCGTATAACTTATTGCCGCTCACAGAAAGGCCTTTATAACAATTCACAGCAAACAATGAGGATAGGTTAAGGTGATTGCGTCAATTATGAGGATGATCTTTTTATCGTGTTTGCCATGTTCTAATGATTTAGTGTATACTTTAATGCTTTTGCTATTGCTACAAAAGTCGCGTGAAGTTGTAACCTAGCCGGAGCACGTTACACTTACGCAGTGCCAGTCCCGTTTAGTGATCGCTTTCCCTGAATTACCGTAACTTTTATATGCACGTAAATACCATTCTCTTTTTTCGTTTTTTAGATAAAATTGTACAGTAAAAAACAGGTTTTCTTAGCTCACAAGTAACGTCGAATTTTGCTTATTGCAGATATAAAATGAAAATTAAATTTAAAAATGACATCAAATAAAATGAAAATACAACACTACAAAACATAATAAATGGTATGTGTTTTTTTTTACTGGTGAGACTTTTTACTAGTGAAACCACACTGTGGGTGAAACACAGGTGAAACCTGTCATGACTATCTTGCACAGTTTCATGGTAGGTGCACCACAGTTCTAAGGCCGAGCTTGTATTGATTCTGAAGTTGTAAATAAGCATAGTAAAGGAGTTTTGACATGAGAAGAGTGCAAGGGCTGCTGAGCTCCGTACGTACCCCGTGCGTCGGGGCCACCATGAATGGTGCTCCCATGGCCGACGGCGGTCTCCTGCCGGACTGTACCTCGGTGTCCGAGCAGCTCTCCATGAGCGACCTGCGCCGCAGGATGCCCCCAGGGGCCATCTGCTGCTGCTGTTGGTGATGGTGTTGCGCAGCGTGGTGCAGGGAAACCATGCCACCGCCCGTAGCCGAGGGCCTGAGCGAGTAATATCGTCCCCCGTGCGGGCCTTGCATCATCTCGGGCTGCATGAGCCGCTGCTCGCTCTCGGTGCGCAGAAGCCGCCGCGTCGACATGCCTCGGTCGTGTTCGTCCCAGTACCTGCGTCACAGACGTCCAGTGATGTGGATGGTATAAAACGTTGAACGTTCTCGTAATGTGTCGTCACGTGGCCTGTGAGAAACAGCTTCATTTTAGCCGGCTTCGCGCGAGACAAACCGAATCGGATCAAGATTGCGATGAGGTCCGAGCACGCGGCGGCTGCACTGGCAGTGGCATAGCGGAGTAACGTGGTAACTGTTTCGCGTTTAAAACTTTCAACTTTGTGTAAGTGTAGTTCATGTACGGATTTCTTATTCGATGGCTCAACGGGAAGCCCGTAGATGTTTGATGCCCGTGTATAAAGATTTAGGTGTGTGTTAAACAAACTGGGGTGGTTGAAACTTCCAGGGTTCTCCACTACGACCATCATCATAATCATATTGTGGTTTTGGGACGCGAGACACCAATAGTTATTATTATTAATGGAATGTGGTGGCAAAAAGACGACTAATCGCCTGGCAATGCGCCAATCTTGGCCCAAATGGGGAATAATAACGCTGGTTGCACGGGCCACGACTAAATATGTTGGTGTGATGGCGCGTACTAGACCACCGTGGCGGGTAAATAAGTACTTCAGTAGCGAGATAGATTAGAAAACGGTGTCTGTAGCGACACCACCAGCGCAAGTGGCTCACCTGTTCCTGGCCACCGATGAGCGCTCCATGTGCGGGCTGTCCCGGAAGGCGTGCACCTGTTCCGCCAGGCTCTCGAGTGTCTTTGGGTAGCGGTGCGGGGGCTGCGGTTGCCTCCGCACCGGCACCGTGCTGCTGTAGTACGGGTTCTCCATCAGGCCGCCGCCCATGCCATTCTCGCTCTGAAGGTCGTCCTCGGCTTCCTGAGGCGTGGATGCAAAGAACATCGTTCAGATGAAATGGATACGTGTCCCGGGTTAAGTCGGTATTGCAATCCGATTCGGCCGCGTTTGGTATACATCGACGCGGTGCTGGTGATGCGAGAAGAGTTACTGTATATGCGACCTGTAGTTAGCAGAAGTGCGCGTCTGTCTTCCAAATACTGATAGCAACTATGCATTGCGGTGAAGCTGACACACGGACCAATTATTCTCTTTATCGGCACCAACCCTGCAGTGAACTGTATTCATACTGGTCGTCGATAGTAAAGTTGACCACTGGTCCTTAAATCACCAAAGACGTCGGTCGGCGACATGGTAGGCATGCCTCGTGCAGAAATGGATTGGGGCTTGACCACATAGCTGCGGGCTAGTTGGTACATGCTTACTGAAATGCAAAAAGATGCGTACCATCCAGGAAGAAAAAATTGCATTACCTCCTTAATTTTTCTTGCTTGATGATACGCGTTTTTTTCGTATTTCAATAGTTCATACAGTTCATATACTCTATAGATACGAGATCGCAGTAGCGCCCAACGTTGGGGTGGGGTAACCATATGCGTGTGAAAACCTTCCAAGAAAATGAATTCTTATGTGCACACACGGTGAGCTCGACAGACGGTGACGGCTTCCTTCCGTCTCTCGTTTTCATCGTGCCATTCCTTAGTACGAACTATAGTCCCGTGTTCTCGGAAGGTAACGCAAAGAATCCTGTCACCTTGTCTACCTCGGTGGTATAGTGCAAATGTACCTGGACGCCCCTCTTGACGATGACCACGGGCGGCCGCTGCCTCTCGGCTGCCATGGGCGGTACGGGTGGCAGCGCCCCCGAGCGCCCTCCGGGACCGCCGGCGCCCTTGGAGCGCACGGCGAGCACCAGTCGACGAGGTATGGACATGATGATCACCACGTCGTCCAGGCTCATGTTGCGCACGTCCACCAGGTTCACGGCCAGTATCTCGTCGCCCACACGTAGCAGGCCCGAGTGGTACACCGCACTCTCCAGTGCGATGCGAGAGATGAATACCTGAGCGGAATCGGGTGATGAATGAGACGTAGAATTGCCGCTGTCGGTTTAGACATATACAGTGAACGTTGGAATGCGCTAATCAGTGACATTGAAAATACCATTACAAATACTATCACGCAGTACACCGACCCCCTTCCCATGTGCGCTCTCCAGAACGATGCAAGAGATGCACACCTGGCAGAATCGTCTTTATTAAAATAAGACGTAAGATCACCGCTACTAACCTAGTATCTATTTATAGCCGTCTATGGTAAGTATTGGTATAGCCATTGGTGACGTAATACATACTATTATGCAGTCCACTAGCCCCATCCTGTGTTTGCTATTTAGGACGAGGCAAAAGATACACCTGAAAAAAATTCATTTTATTAGAATAGAACGTAAAATCACCAAAGTCAATTTAGCTGTCCTTTAAGTTGTTTATTTAGCCCTCGGCAGTTAGCTTTAGCAAACCCACTGGTAACATTTTGTATTTTACGCAGTACACTCTTTCGGTGAGCGATCTTCAGGATGATGCAAGAAATGAACAGCTGAAATAATAGTCATTTTAGAATAAAGCGTCAAATCGCTGCTGTCTATTCAGCCATATATGGTGGATAGTGAAATATACCCAACGACGACAGTTTCATTTTTGCCGGTTGCGCTTTCCTTTCACCGCCGTCGCTACTTATTACTACTTAATGTATCACTTATTGCTACTTATTTCGTCACTACTTAATTTATTGTTATCACTACATATCACAAGGTAAAATCATAATTTGAGAGTGCTTGCCAAATGTGTTCCACCTAATTCTTATTCTTCTAGTTACGTCAATCTCGTGGTTTGGCTCCGCGGTTATTACCTGCCCTAAGTAGACATAGTCTTTTACAGCTTGAAGTGCACTATTACCTATCTCGAAGCGCTGCTCTTTTCCGAAGTTGTTCTACATTACTTTCGTTTTCTGCAGATTAACTTTGAGACCCACCTTTCTGCTCTCCTTGTCTAACTCCGCAATCACTCTCAAATTATGACAGGTAGATTGCCGCGATCCCTCAAGAGGAAGGTATATAATAGCTGTATCTTGCCGGCACTTACCTATGGAGCAGAAACCTGGAGACTTACAAAGAGGGTTCAGCTTAAATTGAGGATGACGCAGCGAGCAATGAAAAAAAAAATGGTAGGTGTAACCTTAAGAGACAAGAAGAGACCAGAGTGGATTAGGGAACAAACGGGGGTGAAGGATACCATAGCTGAAATCAAGAAGAGCAAATGGACTTGGACCGGGCATGTAGCGCGTAGACTAGATAACCGCTGGTCATTAAGGGTAACTAACTGGATTCCCAGAGAAGGTAAGCGGGTTAGGGGGAGACAGAATGTTAGGTGGGCAGATGAGATTAAGAAGTTTGCGGGTATAAATTGGCAACAGCAAGCACAGGACCGGGTTAACTGGCGGAACATGGGAGAGGCCTTTGTCCTGCAGTGGACGTAGTCAGGCTGATGATGATGATGATGATGGCATGGTAAAGTAACTTACTCTTGTGAGCGCTTGCCAGAACATTGCGAGAGACGTACACGGAATATATAAGTGAGAATAATAATAAGACATGACATCACCGCTATCGATTCAGCTCTGCACTTAGCTGCCTACGGCAAAAATCGGAACACATCGATAGGTGGCATTGTAAATGCATTTACACAATACGCTGACTCCTTCAAGCGTGCCCTCTCCAGCGTGGCGCAAGAGACGAACACCCCTACAAAATTGTCCTAATTAGAACTAGACGCAAAGTCACTAACTTCCACATAGCCGTCTACCACGAGGTTTAGCACACACCCATTAGCGATAGTGTATGTCGTGTATCAAACAGTACACTGACCCCTTCCTGCGTACGCACACCATCTCCCTCCCGGATGTAGAGTCCGAGCGTCTGTCCGGGCCGCTTGACGATCTCGACGAAGGCAGTGCCGCCCTGCGCGTAGCGCCGCGCCGCCTGCGCCCCAGCGCGGCCCAGGCAGCGCGGGTCGAGCACGCGCACCACCATCTCGCCGCGCTTCTGCACGGCCTCCAGGTGGGCCGCCGTGGTGGCGTCGTACTCCCTCTCCACGGCCTCGATCTGGCGGAACACCTCGCTGGAGATGCCGCTCACCTGTGAACGAGCACCGCGGATCGGTGTAATCGAGTCCCTCCCGCACGTCGCTATAGATCAGGTTCACTGCGTCCGATATTGAGGCGAAAGCCTTCGGTGTTCCATACTCGCGGTGAGCGACGTGCGCCCGTGCCCCATAAAACGGCGTCAGCTGTGGCCTCTTTCCTTCGCATTCTATCACCAATCACAGGATGGCACAGCGGCCACAAAATTAAAATAAAAAACAAAACAATAAGAGAACAGCAACAACAATGCAACAAAATAGTTAAAAACGATGAAAAAAAAACGTAATGACATAGTCGGTTGAACGGCCACAAGCTTTCGCCGAACAAACTGTTTAATTTACAAAGTGTCCTTCAATTTTCTTCACAAAACGAATATTTTTTTAATTGTGAAGCTCTTTTTGGTCGAGGCTTCGTCGTCCGTTGGCGTAGCGCTGACCGAAAGGTCTCACGCGTGGAGAGAGGGGGATTTGGTAGGAAAGGAGTGGCTGCGCAGCGTCAAGATGGGAGAGGGCGTGACTTGGTAAAAAGGGTGAACAAATGAGAGGCGATCAAATATGGGTGAGAATGAGCCTGTCGAAGGTGGGCATCAGCTTCGCTCTTTCGACAGTCATCCACTCTCTCCTGCCGCAGTGGAGTGGAGCGGCACTGCCGCTCGGTAGTGGAGCGGCAATTAGCTCAGGATTTAGAATTACGCGAACGCCTATACAAGAAAGACATTAGTGCAAGATATTTTGTGCTATACCGAAATTACTCGCGTAATCCTCGCACTCGCATAATTCTCGCACCCTCCAAATCGCCCAACAAAAATACGATTTCTTTTTTTTTTCCTCAAGTAATTATCGCACCCCTAAAAATTGCCGAAATAATGTCGTCTGCTCACTCCAGCCATTGATGATGATAGCGCGCAGCATCTGACGCCATCTCTTAAGCATCAATCGTACTATTATTGCACGGAGATTCAATCCGATCCAAGCAAAGCCAAAGTGGTATACGTGCGCGTCGCGGCGTGTTTTTAATGTTGTGTCGGTAATCTCGTCACGTTATGGGGCGATACTGAAACTACACAGCTGCTTTCAAGCAGCTGTGTAGATCATGCGCTAAACAACGGCAACAGGGCCGCTGGTAGGCCCTTCGTAGTCGACGAGTTATGTGATCGCTACTGGTGACGGTGGCTGAAAGCCACCAATACGCGTTGGGACTGCCATGTGCCTAAGGACTAGGATTTATGGTAAACTTTATTTCTTCAAAGAGAAACTGCCGACGATTCTGTTAAATAGCCATCAGCAAATACTGAACGTCCTACGCTTACCGTTTGAGGGCTCCAGTTGAGTGACAAACGCTACCGCTACGCCCGTAACGCCCACAACCTTTGCGTATGGCATTCTAATTCTCGACTGTTAGCTTGCACTTTTTGTGTCTTAAATAAATCTCTCCTTGTGTTGAACCAGTGCTTTTATTGTTGAAGTAAGTTATAGTTAGTACTTCTTCAAAGCTTGCTGTTAGTTGGTGGTGTGAGAATCCCGATTTGCGGCCAATTTGTTTTCTTTTTCGCTCTGTACGTTTTCGTGAGTTTTCCCGCGTAATTCTCGCACCCCCCAACTTTGCATCGGTTCTCCGGCCAAAAAAGTGCGAGAGTTATGCGAGTGATTACAGGTAGTACAGGCAATTATCAACGTTACCTCCCATTCACTATAGTAGAAGCAAGACAAAACTTTTTTTTTCTTTAAGCCTGCGCCATTGAGAACATTTTCCATGACCCATACGGCACCACTATCACGTGACTGACAGTGCCTGGACTATGGGTGTCACACTTCGGATTTTTCGGCTCGTGAGGCAGAAGCGTTTGGCTTTTTAAGTTCATTGTTAACGTACTTCTCAGAAGACTCCGCCGCGGGCTTTTTAAGTTAACGTTTAGTACATAAATTTCGTCGTCCTACGGTGACGGCACTTAACATTTCCATTCAACAGAACCATACTGTGGCGCCACCTATGCCTTATTTGGCAAAAACACGTTTTTACATGTGGCGCTGCGGTAACGTTGCAGCAGGGGTGACTGTATATGATATGCTTAGGGAGCAGGGTTGCGCGTGAGTCCACCAGCTTATCAGCTTGCCTTGCTAGCAACCACTGCTACATGAGGAAAAACTGCACTGTGCTTTCGCATGCGACAAGCTTGGCGTGTCATCGGCCAGCGATGAACTTGTCTGGTGATTGATGGCTGTTGTCAATTCAGCTCGGTGCAGAGACGTTGTCACCAAATACAAAAATTGGCTCAGACGTCAGTGTTTTCGCCGTTCAGCGGTTGCCAGTGGCGTTTAAAAACAGATGCACAGCTCTGCCTACCCCATGGTAGCATATACAGTAACCCTACCTTTAGCGAAAGCGGCCATGTTCGGAGGGGCACTTTCCTTCATGTGAAAATTGCATCTATGTGGGGTTACGTATACCGTGTCACGTTACGATCCTCGCTGTACCTACACGTGAGTGAACTGTCGTGGCTTCAGTATTTCAGCAACAAGCTTTAAAAAAAATGGCGAATTCGCCAGTAACTTACTTTTCGGAAGTCCCCCTGCAAAACCATCTCGGGAGCTGGGGCTCCCGGCGCCAGCCGGGGTCTGACCGCCCCCACCCGGGGACCCCACGTCTCGCTGCCGCCTTCGACGCACACCACCAGGTCACCCTCGTGGTTCTCCTGCGACACATCATTAACAATCGATTCATTGACTGGTGTTTCACGTGCCAAAACCTTGATATGATTATAAGGAACGCCGAGGGGGAGGGCTACAGTTTTAACCGTGTGGTGTTCTTTAACGTGTGCCACACGATGACAATGTATGGCTTGAAGGAAATTGTACGAGCGAGTGGGAAGACACGCTTCCGACGCATCATCATTATCACCGTAATCACTGTGTCTAATCCTAGACTCCTGAATGACCCCTGTGTCCACTCCTATAAGACAGTCCCCCTCGGTAATATCAAGTTTCCGTGTCTCACACAAGCTGATTCTGCATTACTGTGGTGAATCTCTTAATTTCATCATCCTGCGTAACCTTCCATCGTGCTTTGCTGCATTTCTCGTAGCTTCGCTTCCATGCGAGCGTCAAAGCAGTTTAACCATATAAAAGCAATCACGACCAATCGTATTGATGAGACATCCAACGATCTTTGAACTAGCCTCCATCTAGGTTCGGCAGTTCAGCGGCCATTTTTCCGATTTCTCTTCCACAGCATCCACATATAATGAACCTGTAGTGCCAGGTGACGCTTGGAGCTATATATCACTAGAATCAGTGACTTCCCGCCTCTATTTTTTCATAATCATGCATTACACATTCTTTTGTTTCGACAGGTTCTGAATAAGACATGGAAAGCCTAAAACTATGCCTGTAGACGAAACACAAAAGAAAGAAATACAAAAAGAAAGAAAGAAACACAAAAGACGGGACCAGCGCAGCACTGTCTACCTTTTCCCTCTAGTGTCTTGTTTATATAAATGTACATTTAGGTCTTTCCGCATCTTACTCCCACCGCACACTCCTTGAGTTTTCATGAATGCTAAACAGATAACGCACATTTCATCCAACAACCCCCAGTAATTTGACGTGTCCCCTGATTCGCTGTCATCTTTTTGAAGCTTCCACCACTTCCATGCTATACAGTAGAAATAACTGAATGCACGAAGCTGCTCTTTGATGAGCCTATTTTGCTTAATTCCCTGTGGCATTTCCCAAGCTGGATTAGTTCGAGAGACAAACATTTTTTTCAGAAAAAATATTTCAATCGACTAATGACTTACTGACAGCTTAACGAAATTCAGCTTGCTTGCTAGTCTTATGTTCATTATGGATTCCATAGGTTGGGATATGTCAGATTCAAAGGTGCGCCCGCTTCGATACCATAACAAAACCTGTATATGAACATTTTCAAGATGACTGCCGAGGCACCCAGAGTATATATTTAAAGTAATAATGCCTTGCGATTTAACGCAATTCGCACGGTGCCACACGGTCAAACCAAATAGGTTCAACCTTTATGTCTCTCTTCGCGTAACGCCTTCGCATGCTCATTTCGCTGAAAAAGGACTACTCTCGACGGCAAAGATTGTTCAGTGCCCATACGTTTTAAATGGCGTCTGTCACGTGGACATTATTTCGCACATGACCCTTAACAAATACGTCGTTCTCTAGTTCTCCACTTAGGCTGCATCCAAGTTTAATTCACTATCATCTCATGCATTATCCACCGCATTCGCCTCGGTGTGGCTTACACGAGACGCTACACCCACTTGATTGGCTGTAATGACACAGGTCGCAATTGTGGTCACTGTCGGTTGCCAGAAACGATCGAACATATATTTTGCGACTGTCCAGCATATGCAAGTGAACGTCAGCAACTGATATCTTCGATTGGCTGATATATTAGTCGACCATTAACCGATGAGGTTGTGTTAGGTCCTTGGCCTGACGCCAGTAGCACACATGTGGTTATACGAGCCATCATCGCTTTCTTAGAAGCCACTGGACGTCTGTAGAAGCACGTCTGTAGAGTTACCCAGCCTAATAAGAGCATATCATCTCTCTACCTTACCATCGTCATTCATCACTTTTTGACTCCTCTGTCACCCTTCCCCAGTGTAGAGTAGCAGGCCAGAGCAAGCTATAGCTCAGGTCGACCTATCTACCTTTCTGTAAATAAATTCCCTCTCTCTCTCTCTCAATATCAGAAAGGCCTCGGCACGAAAACGACCATTTTGCTACTGGGCGTCGGCTTCCGCATGCACTGGCTGAAGTGCTAATGATCGGTAGCAGTGATATAAACGGCAGGAACAAACTCAAGCTGATGCATCAGATACTGTGCCTACTGTATCTCTTTTTACATTTGACTAGCCTTGCAGGAAGATTAATCCGTCTTTGTAATTCATTTTGTTCTCAATTAGGATAATGAAGCGACACCGTGCGTCAGACGCGGCGCACCTTTTTGCGTCCACAGCAGAGCATCCTGGCGGCGATGATGTGCTTGACCTTTTCTCCGAGGCGGGGCGGCGGGCGTCCAGGCGGGTGGTTCATGTGGCCGGCGCCGGGCCTCCGGGGACCCTCCTCCTCCTGGTGTTCACACCGATGCTGCTGCTGTTACGACGACGCCTGCTGTGCCTCCTGCGACGGTGGCCTCCGTGGTGCTGCTACACGGATAAACCAAATTCCGGATATAAGCGGACGAAAAACAGTTTCACCTTTCGCGATAATAAGAGGGCACGATTTTGCCGTCATGGATGCACGGACAAGTGCCACAACCTTCATGATGTTGGAGTACGGGTAAAGAAACAACTGTCACGCTTATAAGCGGACGATGAAGAAAGGAATTTTTTAGACACTTGTGGTCCACTTGTGCTTGTAATGCATCCGTACTTGAAATTAAAAAAAAAACGACGGTCTAATCGTGTTGTATTGCAGTTCGATTTAAACGAATGAATAAAAGCGGTTAGGTAGGGGTATAAACAGCCACACGGGGAGACTGAAAGTTAACTGCACGTGCGCGCCAACGTAGGAATGAGCCCAGGGGTGGGGGAGAAAAAAGGGGGGGGGGCACCCCTTAGTCACCTAAAACGTGGGGAGGGTGCAAAGTGAGCCCCCACACAGTGATATGATTACACAGTGATCAACGGGTGCCAAGTCAGCACCACACATTGGCATAACAGAGAGAATGGTGCCGCTAAGAACTTTCACCTCCCTCTAAGGGGTACCCTGCAAATGCCTGTACACGCTAATCTGACTAACGACAACGTTCCGTTAACCGGAGTGAGCTTGAGTTACATCTAACCGCAAACGAAACCTGTTGCACGGGAAAGCTTTCTTGGTTTAAGGCTGTGAAGTAGGTACCGAGGCACTTAGTTGCTCGAGTATAAAATGCGAACATTTAGTGGTTTTTAGTGAACTATCTGTACCTATACAAATGTAATGCATTTTCTTCAAAGTAAGTCCTTTCAGTTTTCACCTGAAACACCCGAGCCGTTTCATCACGTCGATGCTTGAAATAAGTGAAGACTCCTTATGTGAAACAAAGAATTGGCCACGCGTTATGCATAGAAGCTATAAATAAAAACAAACGGCAAAGCCTGTCTCAACAAGGTATGCTCGTACGGCCGGCAAACCGGTACTCAGCACGTGGTCATACGTTCGTGAGCAGATTGAGGAGACCATGTAATGCACTGCACATCTGATGTATTCAGAAATAATGCTGCGAAGATGCTCGGTGTTGGATGGCAATGGTATAGTTAAAACAACAGACCTACATTTCGGCCTTAAGTGCTCATAAAAAAAAAAAATCTGAGTCACCATCACACTAGTTGTGTCAGGGCTGTACGAACTGCAGAGCTGGGCAGCCTTTTTTGTTTTTTTTTTCGGTTTCCTTTTTTATTCTCTTTATCTGATTATTGTTGTCCTTTTGCTCTCTCTATTTCTATTTATTGCATCACCTCGCTTTACCTATTACTTAATATTTCTCGCTTCTACTTTTCTTCTTAAAATTTTCTTCTTCCTTTATCTCTCTATTTCTCGTTTGCTTCTTGATTTCTCACTATTTTAGAGGTGAAGCACTTTGGAGTCTAGGTATGTGGGCATGTCAGTTGTATAGTCACAGTATGTCATGAAGTCACGGTATATCATAAACGGCAAAAGAGAGGACTGCGTCGTATAGGGGAGGAAGAACATTGCCACTGGAAAAAAAAAGGGAGGGGATGTGGGGGGGGGGGGGGCTGTGCGACGTCGAAATCTCATTTCGTTACGGCGTGCCAGGTAGTCACGGCGTGTCATGCAATCGTGGTCAATCACAAACGAATATGCGTCACAGGAATTGGGCAAACAGCCCTACTCACCCACACAAACACAAAAAATGAAGGCAGCCGTAAGGCCAACAAATATCCGACGACGTAAGCGCAGCTGAAACACTCTTTGTTATATCGTAGGGAACTGATCGTAGGTATGTTATACCGTAGGGCACTGTCATATCGTATGTTATGTCGTAGGGAACTGAAACTGGGATTGTATAGATAAAAAATGGCAGCATATCCACGGAGTGAATGATGGAGAGTGGGGCGAAGAATTCGTCCGTCCATTCGTTCTTGCTTCCGTTCATCCATGCGTCCGTCTGAGTGACCATCTATGCGTCCATCCACCCGTCCGTGCGTGCGTCTGTTCGTGCGTCCGTTCCTGCGTTCGTCCATGCATCCGCCCCTGCGTCCGTTCATGCGTCCATCCATGCATCTGTCTGTGACTTCACATGACTTTCAAGTCCAAAGTGTTGCACTATGCCGAAACACGAGTTCCCTGTACGGTGAACAACTTAAGAAGCTGGCAGTCCATGAAGGCGAAACAATTTACTGAATGGTCGTACGATACGGAAAAAAGAAGATGAAAAACCAAGGCGCCAGTTTTTGTGAATGCAAACATTGCCCTTTCATACCATAATGCAGCTCTTTATTTAGAGTGTATATTTTCTTCATTCATTAGGTCTTTCTTCAGGTAAAGAGGCACTGAGTTGGGGCTATCTAAGAGAAGGCGACTTCTAAGGATCGCAGTAAAATTTGCTGCAGCTAATTTTACTGCGATCCTTTGGCACGTGAAACCCCCTAAACGTGCCATGTGACTATGTGGCATACAGCATACTAAAAAAAAAAAGCGTCTGTAAAGGGTGTCGTTTTGTCCCACAACAAAATAGCCATCTATCTCGAGCACGGACTTCGGCAAGGGGGGGGGGGGGGGCAAAAGGGGGACTTGCTCTCTCTCAAGCCGCACCAACAAAAATGTTCCTTGAATTACCGGTTTGTGCATGATTTGCGTAGAAAAAGCGCGAAAACGGGAGTGAACAGAGGTGCCGCAGTGGTTGCGTTGTGTTGTTTGTCCCTTCTATTTAGTCCCGTTTTTTCAGCCGTTTGCACGCAGTACCTCATCTGAGCTTGCACCCACCTAAGCTATACACTATGCAGCGCCCTCCTGCTCAACCATCCACTATGTAACACACGTTGGCGCTTCTCCCTCCCTCAAGGCGATATCCTGTCGACACTCAGGATCTTGAGTGCCTTGCCTTGCATGACCGCCACGCACCTGTAACTTCTATGTGACGAGGGACATGCGCGTTACAAGTGTTCTTGATAGCGAAGTGGTGAGCGCACAGTTTTACAGCAAGGAAACGCAAGCAAGCCAGATGAAAATAATTAATTGTTGAACAAAAAGACTCCCTTTTTGCTGGATCTTTTTGGGGTGTAATGGGGACGTTCGCATTTACTCCTGTTTAACAACCTCGCGTTATTAGTTAACGTGATCCTAAACGTAAACACATGAGTATTCTGCACGTTTAGCCCCCGTCTAGCCCCGGCATTCATGACGGGTAATCGAACCAATGCCCTCGAGCTCAGCAGCGTAACAGCTTCCAAGCTACCATGCATGGTGGGCAACCGCTCAGGACGAAGTAGACAAAGAGATGTGGAGTTGCGTATGTACGTACATACAGCACTCAGCAAATCAAACAATGCATAGTCAGTCTGAATGACTACAGCTGCTTTTTCGGGCCATTAGTAAACGCCAGTTTTCCACCTATAGAGTCACATGTTGTCATTCGGAAGCAATGCTTTTTTTTCTATTAGATACTTGAGTGATATCGGTGTCATTTGTGCTTGACAATGGCCTTAGAAAGCGCCATGATCCATACCCGCCGACTGTCGCGTTTCAATTAGCGGACACTGTACAGCTGTCAGCAACTTGAACGCTCCGACGCGTGGCCTCGGTAGCCTCGGCTCGCTTGGACTTGAGGTCAGCGCCAGCAAGCGTTGAAGATGATATGCTTACTGCAGTTCAGTATAGATGTATCGCGCGTCGGTTTCACTGGTTAATTTTTGGTTCCAGTCTGCCTGACCGGTGGGTCCAATGCACTCACTTCGCATCTCGTTTTTGCCACGTTTCGCTCGTGGCACCGCATTTGCTGTTTTTATACTTATCTGAGACAATCCACTAATACGTGCGACAGCATACTCCTTAACCGCACAGGCTTGTGTTCACTTCACTAGTTTTCGGTCTAAAACTTTTAGTACTTGACAAACGTCATAAAAAATTCCGACTTTACTATTCTGCGAAACGTGACATTTTGCTAAGGGACGACGGACTTTTAATTTATATTGTGCGTAGTATTTCCATTACCAGCCCAAATATGCTTATGGTTAGAACCGATATTGCCAATCATTAATGTTCTGTTGGACAGATGAATGACAGGCATGCTGCAGTGCATGGGTGGAGCGTGTACAGAAAAAAATTCTTTTAAATGCGAAGCACTCTCAGTGTACCCTGTGCCGTCGTCGTCGTCGTTGCAGCAACAGCAGCAGTAGCAGCAGCAGCAGCAGCAGCAGCAGCAGCAGCAGCAGCAGCAGTAGTAGTAGTAGTAGTAGTAGTAGTAGTAGTAGTAGTAGTAGTAGTAGTAGTAGTAGTAGTAGTAGTAGTAGTAGTAGCCGAAGTAGTAGTAGTAGTAAAATGGCAAGAAGAAGCGAAGAAGATACGTCAGAACACATCTAGCCTCCACTTGCTAAATAATCCATTGAGGTGCAACTGTTCAGCAAAACACAACTTTAGCACAAAGAAAGACTCGCGGTGTGTGATCTGAAGGTAGTTTCGGAGCAACACAGCGCCGAGTTCTAGCATGATTCAATGCGTAGTGTGCAAAAACTGGGCTCTCCGTGAGGGCTGACGGAGTTAATTTCAAGTCTTTCATTTCACTTTGCCTCGCAGGTTGGGGCAAAATGAGACACCTGGAGCATTTTTCTTCATTTTCAAAATAATCTTATGAATGGTGGCGACATTGTAATATTTATGTATCACATACCTTGAAACAAATGAAAGTTTCTGTATGAATGTTTAATGGCAAGGAGTGAAATAAAAATAAATGCTCCCTATTTTCAAATTTTGTCTCATTTTACCCTTTAGTAGTAGTAGTAGTAGTAGTAGTCGTAGTAGCAGCAGCAGCAGCAGCAGCAGTAGTAGTAGTAGTAGTAGTAGTAGTAGTAGTAGTAGTAATGGTGGTGGTAGTAACAGTAGCAGTAATAGCAGAAGTAGCAATAGCAGTGGTATTAAAATGGTAGCTGTATTATTTGCATAATCACGAAGGTCACGTGACCAGACGGCAGGG